AGATGGGTGATTCTGAGGGCAGAGCTGATGAGGGAGAAGGGGCTACTAGTTTTGGGGTTTCTTTGGGGGCTTTTTTGTTTGTCATTTCCCCCTTGGCTTTCCCAGCGCAGCACCCCTCCTCCCAAGCACCTGTTCATTCCTTCCAGATTCTGCCCAGGCTGAGACCCTGCTGACAGGTTGGGGCCCCTCCATTCTTGGTGCCTCGCAATCCAACAACTTGAGTATTGACAGACTAGAGAAACTGCAAAGGGACGATGTCATTCGACTTTCCCCTGTTCCTCTGAATCTTGCAGCAGACACACCCTTAGAGGTCACAGTATCTTCCAGAAACCTTCATTTTAGGAATGAGAATCTGAGGCCGAAAGCAGCCAACCCAAGACGGCGGCTCAATCTCTGATGCCTGGACCTGCTCCTCTGCGCCCAGGACCTTGAACAAATGTCCACACCTCTCCCGAGAGTCAGTTTCCCAGTCCGCAAAATGGGACTAAGTAAAGTATGCAAATGATCCTCCTAGGGCCAGTGAGAGATTAAGAGACGAAGTCTGTCAAGACCCACTAAGTGTCTGGCACAGCTTAACTCCCTTTAAGGTGGCTTTTAGATGGAAGTCACTACCCTTGTCATTCTAAAGGCTCCCATATTCTGGCAGTCCAGATCACAGACCTCATGGTTTACTGTGAACATGGAATATTACATGTGTTTTACCAGTCATGTTTCACATCAATCCATGTTTCCCACCAATCTGGGGCGCATCTGCACGCCTGTGCATTCAGAAGTATTTACCAAGCACCCTCCACATGTCAGGCCCTGTGCTCAGTGCTGGGTCCCAGACGGGGATGACCCTGGACCTCTCTGGGAGCTGAGTCTTACAAGGAAGACAGATACTGTTTGTTTGCAGAGCTCTCCTGAGGGGTCTTATTGCTCTCCTTTGGCCACCAAACACTGCCATTCCGCATCCCTTCTGGTTTCTGGACCTGAAGCGATTGCTGAAATGCTCTTTCCTTTCCTTTCCTTTCCCTTCCTTTCCTTTCCTTTCCAGTGCCCGCAGCCTCGCCTCCTACCATCAGCCCTGGCTCGCCCTGAGCAAGGACACTGCTCTCCTTGGCAGTGTGGCCGAGCCGCTGCCTGAATGTGTGCAGGAACTTGGGGAACGGCAAGGCGAGAACGCAGAAGAATGGCCCCGGAGGAACCCGGGAAGCAGTGGGAGGTCTGAGCCCTTGGAGCCCCGCGCGAGCCCGCCCTGGCCGATTTGGCACAAGCTCCTCCCGGGCCGCCAGGAGACTGAGCAAAGGCCGGCCCCGACGCGCACCCGGCCTTTTGTGGGAGGGAAACACAAAGGAGAGGGAAAAACACGTCTTCCGTTTTGACAGAGGAGGCCGACAGTTTCTGGACGCCTGGGCCAGCCAGGAACTCGCGGAGCCGGGCCGTTTAGCTTCGGCAAGTGAGCACTCAGTTTCGCGGGAAGGGGCTGCGGCGTTGTCCGGGACCCGCTCAGGACATGCAGACCAGGCGCAGGGGCTCAAGCCCAAATGCCAGGACGCCTCCAGGACGCACGAGGGCATGCGCCAACGGCCAGGCTCTTGTTTTCCATGATTCCTGGAGGGGGTAGGAGGACTCGGAGACCCAGAGAGATGAGTCCAGCCACCGATTTGCCCTGGGCTCAAGAAGCCCAGGGGGGGACACAGACTACCCCTACCTCGCGAGCAACTTTCTGGCAACCTTAGAATGTTGGGGGATGCTGCCGGTAGAAGAGGTCTACAGCCTAGAGCTGCCAGCCGGGCGTGGGGAGTGAGGACCGCGAGGTGCCGCTGCACAGCCCAGAACAGACACCCCTGCCCTTGCTCAGTGGCACAGGGCTGGGGCCTGCAGCATCCGTATGGGCTTTCATGCGGGAACCCGGCAAGTAAGCCAGCTTTCCTGGCTCTGCCCCCCCAGGCTCTAAATACGCATGGTGCCAGAATGGGCCCCTCAACCTTCGCCCCGGCTTCCAACTCCAGCTACTGGAGAAAGCGCGTAAAGGACCCCAGACCGCGCACTCTCACGGACCGCAGGACGCAGGGCAGTTGCCGGTGGCAAGCAACAAAAGAAGGAACCGGGGCTCCAGGACACGTGCCACCCTCTGGACTAACCTCAGCGTCTGCAGCCCAGGCGCGTGCACGGTGCGCCTGCCGGTGTTTATTAGATACACAGGCGTGCGCACAAGTCCACGCCTCGGCTGGTGGCCCACAGCTCACATTCCGCAGAATGTCCTCACTGTCTGTGGTCAGAGAGGCTCAAAGGAACCAGCCTCTAATACCCAAGTTCTTCCTGCTCCCCACCCCCGCCTCCTGAGTTCCACCATGTGACAGATTCTCCTAATTCAGCGGTTATGGGTCATCCTCCATAATCGCTGCTCGACATATCTCCACGCTTCAGTTCTTCATGTTTTAAGCACATATTTAATGGATGGCTGCAGAGCCAACTGGGAAACACGCGGGTTGAAAAATAATGCTCCAGAAAGCACGAGATGGGGGCGAAGGCGAGAGCCGGCTAGGTTTTCTATCCTCGTTTTACCCAGACGCCACGAGCAACACCGTGGGCTTATTTTTGTATTTGTTTATTTTGTGCTTTCCCAATTTGAAGGCGAATTACTGTTTGTTTTTAAAGCCATACATGCAAAGTAAAAGTTCCCCAACGACTAAACAGAGGAGGGAGGGCTGGGGTGTGTTTGTGTATGTGCTTGTGCAGATAAAGGGCTAGGGTCCCGGATGTGCAGAACCAGACTTCTGTACGGGAACGGTATGGATGTAAGGAATCCAACTCAGGGAACAAGTTAGAAACGCAGGGCTGCCACTACTGTAAGGAATGCAGGCATCTGCACTGTAAAGGGTTAGTAATTTTTTTCTGTAGGCTTGCTGCAGACACAGTCTCTTGATTTTCCCATCCGTAAAATGGGTGGATTTTCACTAAACTACCTCAGTTAGCTGCTTCTCTAAAACCAGGTTTAATCCCTGATGGGCAGGAGTTTCTGGGTCTAGCAGCCAAGCTGTGATTGCTACTATGTGTCTGAACACGGCCTTGAGGAGCTGGATCTCACTGTCTGGCCCAAGGCCTGGAGGGAAGTCTTTGCACAGGTCTTAGACTTCCCCCCGCCCCAAACTAACTAGCGTTTCCCTCCTACTCCATGGCGTGGTGATGACCACAAGAATGATGCTGAAAATACCGTCAGGGGTTACAGAACTAATACATGGGGGGGGGCGGGGGCTCTTAACTTTGGGCTCTAGACTCTGCCCTTCTGTTAGTGTGGTTACTGTGGGGAAATATCTCGTCCCCGTGCCTACATTCTTGACTTTATGAAGAGTTGTGATTTCTTTCAAAACAGCGTTCAGGAGTAAGTCCCCTACTTCCTTCCCCGCCCTCTGCCTCGCAAGGCCCTGCCCCCAGCTGGGGGCGCTACCAGCCGTCCGCGGAGGAGCCGCTACCGCCAGCTCCCGGAGGCGCGCTTAGCTTGAGATGAAAGTAGGGGCTTTGTGCTTGGTTGTCCTTTACATTTGGGGTTCAAAATGCCCACGTGTTGATGAAACCCTTGAGACAGGGACAGGCCGCGAGAACCCCAGAGAGAGATGAAAAGCAAAAGAGGAGGCTCCAGTCCCAGCTCCGGAATCGCCGGCGTTCTTCGTGCGCATCCCCAAAAGATCCGATCGCGTTGGGTATCAGGTTAGTTCGTGGGCAGAACCCCCAGCCCACCCCATCCCCCAGCCTGACTCTGTGGCCACCGTATTTTCATAGAAACTTGACAACGCTCCCTCTCTCTCTCCATCTTAACTACATTCTATTCTGCCCTCGGTACTTCCCCGGCAAGCCCGCCCTTCTCCTCCCCCTCGCCTCTCACACCCCCTCCACGGGTTCCTCCTCCGGTCCCTCCCGAAGAATCTCCCGGCCGCCGACGCCCATTGGCTGTGCGCGCGGAGGAGGCGTGTGCGGACCCGGCAAGTTTCATTGAGCGGAATTAGCCCGGATGACATCAGCTTCCCAGCCCCCCGGGCGGGCCCAGCTCATTGGCGCGGCGGCCCCTCCAGGACCCGCACATTGTTCCCCGCCCCCGCCTCGGCCACCGCCGCCTCGGTAGCCGCCGCCACCGGGCTATAAAAACCGGCCGAGCCCCGAAAGGTGCGGATGCTTATTATAGACCAGCGCGACCTCAGCGCCCGGAGCCCGGTTCTCCGCTGCGGCTTTTGGGAGCGAGCTCCTCTCCTTGCATCCACAGTAAGTGTCCCCGCCCCTCAGCAGCCCCAGTCTATATCCCGGGGACAGACGCCCTTCAACTGGCCGGCGACCCAGGAAGCTCCGTGGGAGAGGGCCCCGATCCCGCCCCTGCGCGCCAGGTCTGCCGAGTGCCGTCGCTGCTGACTCTCCCCACACTCATCGCAGCATCCCCTTCGCCCAAATGCGAGAAGTCGGGGCGACCACAGTTCCTTCTGGCCAAGTCCGGGTCCGCTGGCAAGCTCCCCGCGGCCCCCCGGACGCAGCGCATGTTATCTAGGCTCGTGGGCGCTGGGTGCCTGTGTGTGTTTGTTGCGCGGTGTGGATGGAGATAAGGTCGATGCGTTGGAGAAACCAAATAAAGACTTCTCTCTTTAGAACTCCACGATCCCAAAGGAAAAAAAAACCCGCCTTGCCATTCCAGCCCTGGGGACTGAGCCTCCCCGTTCCTAATTGAAGGCATAGAGCCTTCTAAATGCCGCCTTCACTGAGGGGCATCCAATGCTCCCTGGAATAAAACAACCTGTGGATGAGAGCGGAGGGAGTGGTGGGAGGGAGAGAGGGGGATTACTTGGCGCGTACCTGCGTGCCGCTGGAAGGAAGGCCAGACACAGCGAGGTGGACACGGAGCGACCGGCCCCCCGCGCCTGGACCGCGCGCTGCGGTGCAGGCGGGAGCAGCTTCTCGCTCTCTTTCTGAGTGCCTCACGCTCGATCTCTCTCTCTCTCTCCTGTTTCTTCCCCTCTTCGCAGGAGGCGTGCGTAAAGCTCCGAGGGCCGAGGGAGGGAGGGAGGACTCTCCGAAAGCTGCGACTATCCCTCGGGGCCATGGACTCGGACGCCAGCCTGGTGTCCAGTCGTCCGTCGTCGCCAGAGCCCGATGACCTTTTTCTGCCCGCCCGGAGCAAAGGCAGCGGCGGCAGCGGCTTCACGGGAGGCACAGTGTCCTCGTCCACCCCGAGCGACTGCCCGCCAGAGCTGAGCGCAGAGCTGCGCGGCGCCATGGGCGCGGCGGGCGCGCACCCCGGGGACAAGCTGGGCGGTGGCGGCTTCAAGTCATCCTCGTCCAGCACGTCGTCGTCCACTTCGTCGGCGGCCGCCTCGTCCACCAAGAAGGACAAGAAGCAGATGACAGAGCCCGAGCTGCAGCAGCTACGCCTCAAGATCAACAGCCGCGAGCGCAAGCGCATGCACGACCTCAACATCGCCATGGACGGGCTGCGCGAGGTCATGCCGTACGCGCACGGCCCGTCGGTGCGCAAGCTCTCCAAGATCGCCACGCTGCTGCTGGCGCGCAACTACATCCTCATGCTCACCAACTCGTTGGAGGAGATGAAGCGACTGGTGAGCGAGATCTACGGCGGCCACCACGCGGGCTTCCACCCGTCAGCCTGCGGCGGCCTGGCGCACTCGGCGCCCCTGCCCGCCGCCACGGCGCACCCCGCGGCCGCCGCGCACGCCGCACACCACCCGGCGGTTCACCACCCCATCCTGCCTCCCGCCGCCGCCGCCGCCGCCGCCGCCGCGGCCGCCGCCGCCGTGTCCAGCGCCTCCCTGCCCGGCTCCGGGTTGTCGTCTGTCGGCTCCATCCGGCCCCCGCACGGCCTGCTCAAGTCCCCGTCGGCCGCGGCAGCGGCCCCGCTGGGGGGCGGGGGCGGCGGCAGCGGGGGCAGCGGGGGCTTCCAGCACTGGGGCGGCATGCCCTGCCCCTGCAGCATGTGCCAGGTGCCGCCGCCGCACCACCACGTGTCGGCCATGGGCGCCGGCAGCCTGCCGCGCCTCACCTCCGACGCCAAGTGAGCTGGCCCGCGCCGGCGCGATCTGGCGAGCGGAGGAACCCGGAGGCTGTGGGGAAGCAAGGACTGGCCGGCACCGGGGGGTGGGGGGGGTGGGGGGAGGAGGGGGGCGGGGGGGCGCCCCCCCCCCAGGAGCTTAGCTCCGAGGAGCGCAGGACCTTGGGCTGGGGGTGGGGGTGGGGGCGTTGGTGCGGTACCCTCACTGGGGAACCGGAGCAAAGGGGGGGGGCGCACTGAACAGTGGCGAGTGAGAGGGGCGTTCGCTCTGGGACCCAGTTCAGCCCTCTCTGGCTTTAAACAGCGCTGCTCCGATAGACACCGTTTTGTAAGAAGGCACTGCTAGGTGCATCCCTCCCTCGACGTCCCCCCCCCCATTTCCCAAGAAAGAGTGGATTCTTAAAACGGTGGTTTCCTCACTCGGCCCGAGCAGCACTTCGTTACACGGGGGAAGGAGGGAGGGAGGACGGCGTGGGTGACTGTCTCTCCTTCCTCCTTTCTCGCCGGGTGGAGACTCGCGGGGAGCTGAGCTCCACGAGCGGCCGTCGGGCCTCGGCCTCCGGGGTCGTCCCTGGCCCAGGGCCAGGGGCCACGGGTTAGTTGGAAGCTGGCGTTCGGTACCAGAAGCACTTACGGTCGCGTCCAATCTGGGTAAAGCCCGTTCCTCCCTGTCTCTCCTGTTGGTTTGGGGGGTTTGGGGTTTTCTAATAAATCTGTCTATGTTCCTTTTTCAACAGTGCGAGCAAGCTTTATAGAAGGTCAGAATAGAACCACTTGTGGATTGGAAGAATCTAAAACTGTCGACTTTGGGGGCGGGTGTGGTTTTTTTTGTTGTTGTTTTGTTTTTAGTTATTTTAAAATAGACTCTCCCTCCTTCCCGTTCTTTCCGTCTCTAAGTACAAAGTGATTTGGTTTATTCCCTGATTGGGGGCAGTCATTCTGATACCTGAGGGTTTGACAGAACTCAGAGGCATGTGCTGTGAATATAGTTTGGGTTATTTGGGAGTTCTATTGGCTTTTTTAAGTTTTTCTTTCTTGGATGTGTAAATATATGATCAATAATGAGGTAAGTGCGTGCTGCTAAGCTGTTTGCTCACGTGACTGCGAGCCCCTCCGGAGTCGAAGCCGGGTTTCCTCTATATTGGTTTCTTTTTGCCACGTTTAACACAAATGACAAACTTTTCCACGTGCTTCCTGCGTCCTCGCAAACCGGCTCGGCGCTCCCAGCGTGGCAATATGGGCTTCACGGCGTCTGCCACATAACATCCCTCCTCTGACCGCCGTCCCTTGCAGAGAGTGTATCATCTGTTTTATTTTTGTAAAAAGAAAAAAAAAGTGCTAAATAATATTTATTACTTGTTTGGTTGCAAAAAAAAAAACGAAATAAATGATCGAGTGTTGAGATTTTAAATAAAATGTAAAGTAAGTCGGGTGTTTTCCAACCGTGTGGTGGGAGGAGGTGCGGGGAGCCGCCCAGGGAAGGGGGTGCAGGACTCTTTCCCGTGGAGCCGGATCTGGGGACCATTCCGTTGGTTTCACCCTGGAGAAAGATGAGGGATGTGTTTGACTATTCTCCCGTCAACCCCCCCACCCCAACGAACACACGTTCTCTTTAAAACGTGCTCTGAGCACCTCTTCGGGTGTTTCTCACAGCTCTCTTGTTATTTTGATTTTCCGACGCCTAATCCGGAACTCTCTTTCCCTTCGGTTGAGGACTGAGTTAGTTGAAAGTGAAAATTTCCCTCCCTGTGCACTGAATTTGGGGCCAAGGGGGCGAGGGCCATGCCTTGCGCTGGGGGTCCCGGAGCTCAGGCCTCCACTCCTACCGGGATTTTTTTTTTTCCTTTGGGCTCAGAGGCAGCCGCCCACCCCCACCCCGCTCGAGTGGCATCCTTAGGCTTCAGCTGCGGACCGACCACTTGGGGCCCCCCGGCCCGCGGCGCTGGTGCGCTCCGGGCAGAGCGCCGCGGGAGTGTCGGGCCTGGGATCCGCTAACCCTTCTCTGCCTTCCGCGCGCTGTGCACGACCCTCCCCGGGCGCCCACGCCGGTCTTGAACTGCAAAGTGTTAGGTGCTGGGAACCGCCAGCCTGGAGCGAGATTCTTCCTGAACCATGCTCGGGCCTCCGTGCCCTCCCCGCCCCCCCCCCCCGTTCACCTTTCTTCTCGCAGTTCCTGGGTTCCTCGCAATCCAAAGCTGCAAAGCACATTTAGGACTTGGGTAAAAAAAAAAAAAGAGAGAGATTCTGGGTAAAAATAGAAAAGCTTCGGCCTTTCTGGTCAAGGAGGACAGACCATGTTGCAGTCCCTCGGCCTGCGGGGCTTAAGGGAGACAGCGCTCCCTTGAAAGCAGCGACTGGTACGGGCGCAGGGGAGTTCCCCAGTCCTGATGCCTCTCGCCTGCCTCTCGGTCTTTGGTGGCACTGGCGGACAGTCCCCACACCTGGGACACCTGGGGGTGGAGAAGGTTTCCCTAGTCCTAACCTCATTTTTTGAGGCCCCTGATCCTGGCCCAGGCGGATTCTCCAGGCGCAGGACTGAGGGTGGCTCCATCCCCCAGCTCGCGTCGGGTGCTTCTGGGTGCCAAGTAGGTGTGTTGAGCTGCGGGGCAGAACAGCAGGTGCCTGGAGTTCAAGTACAGTAGGCCTCCTTTCACTCTGCTTTTCACCAAAGGCCCAAAGCCGGGAGGAGGCTGAGCTGCTGGGGAAGAGGAAGGAAGGGGACACGGACCAGGGGCTCCCCACATGAATCCAACACGAGGGTAAGGCAGGATCTAGTAACTTTTATTTTGAAATCCCATTTGAAACGACATTTGTTAAGAATTCAGAACTCGGTCGGGTTCCAGCGGCAGATACATACCGAAGGACTGGAAGAGGCTGGAACTTGGGGTGGGAGCTCAGAACCCAGGGAACAGGGTTGGGGGCTCGGTGGCAGTAGCGGCTTCCTTCACCCACTGTAAGCCTAGGCGGTCCGAACACGGGCTCCAGGTGTGTGCGGTGTATGCAGAGAGGGGCATAAAAGAAAAGGAGATAAATCAAGCCTTCCCCTCCCTGCCCCCCTCACACCCAAACTTGCTACCAGAGTCCAGCCACCATGCCAGCCAGACTAGACCTGGGCCTCCAAGGAAGAAGGAGCTGGATCCAGCCAGGATTCCAGCCCTTCCTGGAGTCACCCGCCTAAACTGCGGGCCCAGCCAGGGATCTTGGCCACCAAGGGTGAGAGAAGAGCATCCTCAGCCATTGCTGGAGGTGCACATGGACACGCAGGAGCATGCACAGCAGTCCAGGGCTGGTGGCTCCTAGCAGGAGGGTGGCCCTGGACTGGTGGGGGCGGGGGCACTCAGGACCACTGCTGGGCTTCGGAGTAGAGCAGGAGAAGATGTTATGCAAACTCTCAAACTTCCCAGGGTCCTTAATTGGGGGCGGGCCTCCCACTGAGAGAGAGGTGAAAGGAAAAGCAGGTAAAGTAACAGTCCAGTCCTGGCCCGGTGTGCAGGGCACTGTCAGGGCGGATCCCCTCTCTGGGAGCATCAGTTCAGAGGTTCTATCCTGCACTGAACCACATCTCAGCTTCCCCACCTGCCACGTGGCCCCCTGGTTTCGAGCTGCAGAGCCAGGGACTTCGGCACCAGACCCGAAGGTCTCTGAGATTCTCCCCAAGCCCCCTCCCCACAAGAGCTCAGCTTGAGGTTAAGGGGCAGAGCCTCCTCCACAGCCTCTGTGCTCCAGAGCCCTGTCCTCCCTCCTCACTCCCTTACTGGGCAGGAATCACAGAGAAATGATGATTCCCTGGGCACAGTGTTGGAGGACAGCCAGAACTCCTTGGGTGCTGCCCAATGCCTCTGGCACCCATAGAGTGGAAACTCCACATTTCTGGGACAGTGAGACCAGCCCCGGGCTGGTCCCTCGGACCTAATGTACATCTCAGTCTGGGAAGGTGTTGCTGAGGCCCAAGGTGTCACTCCCAGTGAGGATGGCTATAGGAAGACCTAAGCAACAGGGACACGCATGGCATGTAGGACCTGTCCTTCTCATTCCCAGACTGGAACCAAGGAAGAGCTCTAGGGCCAGTGCATTGGATTTTAAAGCCCCTTCGACATTCTAAGTGCTGGAGAATTGTCTGTCTGCTTCCCTTAAGGCAGAAAGGACCTAACAATCAACCTGAACTCCCTCTAATAAGTAAACACCTTCGTGCCCCCTAGAAGTTCATCTAAAGCAAAGGCTCCTCTATACAAGCCCCATGTCTTATTTCAAGACCCTCTTTTAGTACAGACTTTGGGCCAAGTTCCTGGTCCCCACACAGGTGCCTCACAGTACCAGGAGGGATTATGTATGTGGGGGGGAATCTTTGACAGGGGCCCTACACCAAAGGTCTCAAGCCCCTTGGCTTGTGACAGGCCCCCTCAGTCATTGTCTCTGCAAACCCATAAGGGAGGCCAGAATCAGGCCTGATGCTTCTTAGGATAAGTGGTTGCTGCGTTGAATCCCACCCTGGCTGGGGAGAAGGACCCGATTAACAGCAAGAATCAGCATGCCTCTCCTTGGTTTGGAGGCTGGAGGCAGCCCATAGGCTAGATCCCTGGGGCCCCCTGAGAGAGTGAAGGGCCACTCTAGGCAGGACAGAAATGGGGACCTAAGGACTGGGATATGGGGGCCAGAGCTCTGAGGATTCCTAGAACTCACAGCCCTATTGCCCATCTCTCTCTTCAGGGACAGCGTCACTGCTCTAGGCCTGGGAGGTCCGCCCAGGTTAATGGGAGGATGGAGGCTCTGCAATGAGGAGCATTAAGTGGCTTATCTGGGAGCAAGGAGGCAGCGGGGAGGCATCCCTGGGGGAATTGAGGATACTACTAATAATAAGCAGAGGAGGCGCCAACAAGTATTCTAGGCTCCTTGGTATAGAGCCCGGGGCTGAGACCTTTAGTGTGTTAATTCATTCAGTTCTCACCGTAGCCCTTTGAGGACGGTGCTATTATTATTACATTTAACAGGCAAGGACACTGAGGCACAGAGAGGGTAAGTGAATGGCCCAGGGGCATAGCTAGCTAGTAAATGCAAGTGGCAAAGTTGTAATTCGAGCACACCTC